CCGCTGGCCCTGCCCTTGCTCGCCGCCCATCGTGGGAGAAGAAGAAGGAAGAAGAAAAAGGAAGAAGAAGAAGAAAGAAAAAGGAAAAAGGAAGAAGAAGAAGAAAGAAAAAGGAAAAAGGAAGAAGAAGAAAGAAGGAAGAAGAAAACAAAAGAAAAACAGAAGAAAAACAAGAAAAAGGAAGAAAAAAGGAAAAAGGAAGAAAAAAAAGAAAAAGGAAGAAAACAACAGAAGAAAAAAAGAAAGAAGAAAAAAAGGAAGAAGAAAAAAAAAAGAATTTTTAAAATTAAATACGTGAAAATACGTGAAAGAATTTTTTGTGTCTAATAAAATCAATTTTTGAAATACACGAATAATTTTTAAACGGAGAGGGGCGGCAAGGGGGGCGGCGATGCGCGCGGTGTTTTTTTAGGGATCGAGAGGGGACGGCGAGGGTTATAAATGTGTTGTCCTCGCCTCCCCTCTCGCGCTCTACCGCGACACCCTCTCCCACCCCTTCCTCGCCCCCTCCTTTCGCCACCGCCCTTTCGCCACCGCCACCGCCACCGCCCCCCTTCTTCACTTAATGAATTTGTTTTTACTACATGTTTTCAGGACTGACATAATGGCGGACGATAGAGCTGACCCGATTATGGACAACTATGATCCGGACGGTGAAGCACATATGTTCGGCATCATAAACGGCGATATTCTATATGTGCCGACCGGAGAAGAAGAAGATGATATCTCTTCTTATCTGAACCTTGACGGTGAAGATGAAGGGCGCCGTCAGCAAGATGATGCCGAACAAACGTCGATAAACGACGATCTTCAAATGGAAGTAGCAACCACCTCCGGCGCCGAGGTATATATATACATTGAGCCTCTGGTGATACAAACTAACTGATTTGAATAAATATGTGTGTACTAACGCGCGCGACTCTTTCTTATTTTAGCCCTCGGCCGGATCATCGAAACAATCGAGTACGTCGTCAAAGCGTGGCGCAACCAAGACGATGAAACAAGGAGAAACATGCACCATCGAGGTTGTCGACAGTGCAACCGGCAGGCCGCTGGAGCCCCGCAAGAACGCCACCAAGTTTGTCAGCCAATGCGGAGCCATTGTTAGAGACAACGTCTCGATCACCGTCCAGGAGTGGAATGAGCCAAAGAAGGCACGAAATGATGGTTTCACTTTTGTCGATAAGAGAACAAAAAAAGATTGCTTCAAGAAGCTTATGGAACATTTCGTTCTACCTCCGGAATACAACAAATTCGATGAGGAGGGTAACAAGATTGAGGAAAACAAGGAAAGGAGGAGGCTAGTCAAACAGTTCGCTCTTCATAAGATGGCCGACGCATTCCGGAAATTCAAGCAAAATCTAGCCCATGACTTTGTCAAGCAGAACAAGACTCCGGATTTCAAAGGACAATATGAGAAACTGAAACATGATTGGCCAAAATTTGTGAAGCAAAAGAAATCGGAGCAGTTCATTCAAATATCGAAAAAAAATAAGGAAAATGCGGCTAAGAAGGAGTACAATCATGTTATGGGGCCAGGAGGGTATCGCCTTTGGGAGCCTAGGTGGGAGAAGATGGAGAACGAGCTGAGGGCGCGAGGAATCCGTCCAGGTACGGAGGGATGGGACCCAAGGGCCAAAAGCTGGTGGTACGGGCATGGGGGAACGCTGAACCCGGAGACAGGGGAGTGTGTTTACCGGGGCAAATTAATTAAACCCACCCAAGCCCTTATTAACGCAATGAGGGATGCTCAACAGGGGAAGATCAAGTTCAACAGAGAGAACGACGCGCTGACAAAAGCCCTTGGGAATCCTGAACACGGAGGACGTGTACGAGGCATGGGGCACATTCCGTGGAAAATAGGGTTCCCCCAGAACGATGACCCGTACGGTTACAGAAGCCGTAAGAGAAAGATGGATCAGGAAGCAGATGTTGTGGCGCGGTTGGTATCGGAAATGGATGTGATGAAGAAAACCATGAGTGTACTAGTAGCCGAAAGAGATGCAGCTCGGGTGCAGCATGAAGATCATCCAGCGGATCTCGGAAGCCAGCAGCGGAGAAGCAGCGTGGCTTCCACGGAGGCCCCACCGGCTGGTGCAGATGCACCGACGATCGAAATTACTGCACCGGAGCCTCTGGTGGTCCAAATTACTGCACCGTAGCCTCTGGTGGTCGAAATTACTTCACCGGAGCCTCCTCGCTACCCCGTGGACGATATAAAGGAGATGAAAGAATGTCATCTGTATTATCCTATCGGGAACATGTCCATGAAGGTAGCCATCGGCAGTGCTTTACCATGTTTACCTGGAGCACTCCACCACAACAACCCCATTCAAGATGGCTATGCTCGTGTCACGGTGGAGGACATAGTCCAAGGGTTTGAGGACCTGGAGATTGACATTGCTACACCTGAAGGGGAGAAAAGACTTGGAGATGTCAAGCGCCATTTCATTCTATGGCAAAAGAAGTTTATCAAGTTTCCAGGCGAGGCGCCAAGGACAACAAGTCCACCCCCCTACGGTGGTGGTGGTGGCGGTGGCGGCGGTGGTGGTGGTGGTGGTGGTGGCGGTTCACCTACACCTCCGTCACGTCAGCCGACGCCGCCCCCCAGTCCACAACGTCCGGCGGGTGATCAGCCGCCGCCCCCCAGTCCTCGTCCGGCGGGTGATCAGACGCCGCCCCCCAATCCACCTCCGGCAAAGAAGCAGAAGCAGTCCTAGATTATTAACCCGGACCCTTATGTACCTAAGACCACAAAGGTACCGGAGCCATCACTGAAGCCTCTCCCCACAAGGCCTTGGGAACGTAGTGCCGAGGAAGTCGACGCGGCCGCGGCTGCTGATTTGGAGAAATGGAAGGCGGACTGCAAGAAGAAAACAGAGCCCGAGCCCAAGCCAGTATTTTCTGATGAGCAAAAGAAGTGGGCTAAGTCATTTTTGAGCACACCGTCCCAAGCCGCGAAGAATCTGCCTAACGACTATGCACGTGAACTTCGCAGGCAGGCACTCATGTTCAAGGAGAACAAAGAGCGGGAGAAGGCCGAAAGTAAAAAAAGCGGGAAACAAGTTGCCCAGCTCGGGGAACAAAGTAAACAATCGATTGCCCCACTTATAGTGGAAGCCTTCTGTCCTGATGCCCCCGAGATCATACAAGCTGCGGCAGCACAGGGATTGACTGTAACGAGTGCCAGAGAACAAGCGGCCAACTTAGGTATTACTCTTCGTGAACTGTTAGGCCTTGATGAGGCGCCAGTGAAGGAGGTAGTAATTACATATGTCAAGAATGGGCCTCTCGTCGAGCCTGCGGAGGAAAAGGATCTACCTCCACAAATGAAAGGTCTGCTGAAATGGTACAAGGGTTACATAAAAAATAAAAACGCCAAAGAATATATTTATGCGGAAGTTAGACATGAGCATCACTTCAAACATTACTATGTACAAATTGAACTGAGTGAATTGTTCCAGCTTTTCAATCTGCGCGAGCTCGATAAATCTATCATCAGTTGCTACGTTCTGTAAGTGATTTATTAATTTCTACCCCATCTCGTTCATATTGCCTGCACTATATATATGTCCTAACTATATTGTTGTGTCCTCTATTATACATGCAGAATGAAGATTAAGGAATGCAGAGTAAGGAACATCCATGATGTTGGGTTCATTGACCCACACATCGTTAATGGACATGTGTTGGAGCGTTACCCCGCCGACGTGGAGGCAGACCTGTGGCAGTTTCTTACAAAGCAGGAACTCAAAAGTGATATTCTATTTCCTTACCATTTTGAGTGAGTGTTTCTGTCTTGAGCACATTCTCTTTTGTTTACTCCATGCATGGTATGTGGCCGGCTAATCGATGAGTTATGCATGACGTACTGTGCATGTATCGTGTCCGCAGGTTCCACTGGATTCTGCTAGTAATTAAAGTTAACACCTCAGAATGTCTCGTCCACGACTCTGTGAATATGGATCCAAAGCTTTGGGGCGGCATGAGAAGAATGCTGCAGAAGTAATTATTTTCATTCATTTGCGCTCTATATCGATCGGCCTATTTCGTTCATTTCCTAATATCAAGTAACTAATTAATAACTGTCTTGTTCATTTAATTTTCTTTGCCTCGTAGGGTTTGGAGACGGTTCGTAGATACAAAGGTCGGTGAATTCAAAAAAGAGCTAGAATTCAAAATGTTAAAGGCTAAGAATGCTGGGGATATTCAGCCACCGGAGACCAATCTATGTGGATACTATGTCTGTGAGATGATCCGGAGATACACCTCTGAGCGGGTTCCGAGTGATACCAATGCTAAGAGGAATAACCTCCGGTGGATGCTTAGTCCAGAAGCTCGCTTCCGACCACTTCAAGAGGAACTAGCTGGATGGTTCAGCAGGGAAGTCCTCCATCCTAAAGGAGAACACTATTACGAGGACGTAGAACTTTATATGCATTAAATCATGTATGGAAACTTGTTCAAAATTGTATATGGTCATCCGATGATATTGAATATATATTGTATATTCCTCTTGAATTCTTTTTGATTCTAATTTCAAATTTATTTGAAATTGTACATTCATATGCATGTATGTAGTACCGTAGAATATATGAAACTCCTTCAAAATTAAAATAAAGCACAAAAGAAATAAAACAATACAAATTAAACAGAAAACAGGTTTAAGGGGGGGAGGTTTAGGGGGGGGCTAAAACCCTAAACCTGCGGCGGCCTTTAGTCGCGGTTGGCCAGAAGAACCGCGACTAAAGGTCCTCCGCCCCGACGGCCACCTGGCGCCCACGTGGACGGGCCTTTAGTCGCGGTTCTTAAGCAACCGCGACTAAAGGGGGGGGGGCATTTAGTCGCGCCCGGTCGGTCGCGGTTGCGCAACCGCGACTAATGGCAGTTGCGAACCGCGACCAAAGGCCTTTTTTCCACCAGTGCATCATCCTCGTGAAAAACTATATAGGATACGATGCAACAGAAATATTGGTTTATTTGCCCTTCCAATGTGCTCGCAGTATCCTCTAGCCATCATACTCACCTCTCGTTGATCCACGCCCATCTGGCATATGTCTGCCTACAAAAAGAAAATATAACTATCAAGATTCTGTATTAGTAGACCATGGCAGCTTTTACAATCGTTCCAAGCCATCCACTTTTGTGGATCCAAATTTCCATATCAATATATACTTGTGGTGAGTAAATCTAAGTGGTAAAAGGCAGTACTCTGTTTTTATTTAATCCACGTATTAGGTTTGTCGTAAGTCAAATTTCATAAAGTTTGATCAAACTTTGTATGAAAGAAATATCAACATCTACAATATACCAAACAAATACAAGATAGAAATATATTTCATGTCGGATCTAATGATACTGATTTTTTTTCTAAGAACTTGATCAAATTTCAAAAAGTTTGACTTACGACAAAGCTAATATTGAAGTAAACAAAAATGAAGGGATTACTAGGGTTAGAATCAGAAAGCATTACCTACACCAAGCACTCGGGCCGACACAACCTTAGAACCTCTAAATTCATATTCACTTTCTCTAATTAGCTATTGTTAAACATGATGTTTTGGGAAAATGAAAAGTCCAGTTGAAGAAGTGTGATTCATATTAAGTAACGTTGAAGGGATAGATCAGATTATCTTTTCCCACTTATAAAGATTCGAGTTACTGGTCATACGTTCACTAGTCACCTAGTTTTCCACGCAACTCTCACACGTGTCATCTGTGCCAATTATCAAAAACTCATTTAAGCTAGCATACAAGGTTCTTAAGTAAACCAAATTCGACCTTATGTTTCTGTGGTTAGACGGCGTAGCACATGCACTTTGCTAGTTGACTCATAATTTAATATGTTTAAACTGAAGCCCGGTCAAATGAAAGGAAGTGAGCCTCCTGGAATAGCCATCTCCAACTCGAGAGAAGTTCCTATCCAAGGTAAAAGAATGAGATATGCACGAACGATGAAGGATGAAGGCATGTGGGGAACAATGAGTGGCCGTGGGTGTGCATCACATCGTAGACACACGGATATCCTGGTGCCTCTTGATGATCGATTGTGATTGTGCTTGCCTTAATGGGACTTTTCCCTCGGCCTCATCCCTCACACACCAAATTGACCAATGAGAGAAAAAACACCCAGGCAACTTCATGTGGAATGTTTTCCAGCTCCATCTCGGTCTCGACGTGGCCTTTGCGGCTGATGCCGCCGAGCTAGTGGTGTCATGGTTTCTCCCCTTTGTCCTATCATTATCATGTTTTTTGATAAAGCAATTGCTCGCCAACCTGCCTTGTGAGGGGAGTGTTCACAACCATCGTGCATTTGGTAATCAAAGATTCTCATTTGTCGTGGTAGAGGGCTGATGCGGCTACTCATAGTTAAACAAGCTCATGCAGTTATGGTCATCTATGTTTTTTTTTACCATGGGACATCAAGATGCGATCGGAGGTTCTGTGTTGGCGTTTTGATGTAACTTTATAGTTTTTCAGTGTTTTTTTTTGGCTTCTTAGTCATTGAATAAATATAATGTCAGACCTCTAGTCAAAAAAAGAAATCAGCGGTTTAGTTAGCATTTTAGATTTACTATTTTCTCCTCCATAAGCTAGAATGTAAAACCTCATGTATACACCCCACAAAAGGTATAAATAATGGTAGGTAGACAACATACAAACCTCGAGGAAGAGTATATCAGCACACTTCATGAGGGGCTCCAAGAGCTGATTACACGCCACATTTTCAGGATCCGCATGCATGCTAAAAACAAACGGAACAATTATCACATACATATTCGACATAGATCCGCATGCATGCACGCAATTGTTCCTATTTACATGGCGCATGGGTATTTGGAGGTTCAACTTTAACCGCTAATCTAACTAATGGAACGTTGATTATGTGCCACAAAAATTATACCATTTAATTCATATTCAAAAGCAGTATCAAACTGTGTGTGTTTTGTGACAAATGATTAATATATTATAGATTAAATTATTATTTTGAATAAAATAATGCTTTTATTAACTTAAAATGGGGCATCAAACAAATACAAATCATAATACAGTAATACCCCACTTCTGCTTAACTATATTATAGATTAAATTATTTTTTGGATAATATAACTCTTTTATGAACTCAAAATGTAGCATCAAACGGATATAAATCATAATAAGTAACACCCACTTCAGCATAACTACGATGCACACAGTCAAATACCAATAGTTGAACTACAGAAAATAAAAAGTTGAACAGCAGAAAAGATTTAAAAAAAATGACATGACAACTAAAATCGTAGGACCAGCACTATGCCTACGTGAAAGGAGATGGTGGATCGATTAATAGATTATGCTGAAATTGATGGAAAAGTTTAGACATAAAACGTCGTGTAAACATGGACGGAAGGAGTACCTCGCTAACGATCTGACGCGGTGGTTCCGGGAAATCCCCATCACGAGCGGCCAGTACTCGTGCGCGCGCCTGCTCGTCTCCTCGGAGCACCAGAGGAAGTCCACCCCGTCCGAGCTCATGCCCAGGGCTTTCCAGACCTCGATCGCGTGGCGACCGGCGGCCCTGATCTCGCTCGAGTCCTTCGCTCCAGTCCGCTGGTCCGCTATGAGGATCTTCACTCTGCATCCGGCCCTCACCATCTTGTTCACATTGATCACCTTCCCAACACCCTGATGAGAAACAAAAACAAGAGAAGAAGGGGAGTATGTGTCTCAGTCTTTGCTTACAAATCTCAAGGAATTTAGGGCAGGAGCATGCGGTGCAACTTGGCCGGCCGGCAAGTTGAGATTCAGAGAATTATCATTGACCTGCCAGATGTTCACGCGGCCGGAGACGGAGGGCTCGAAGCTGTTGAGGCAGACCGGGCTGGGGTTGCCGTGCAGCAGCGGGAGCAGCTCGTCCTCGCCGACGAGCTCCTCGGCGGTGCTCCGCAGCGTCTCGCCGCGCTCCTCCACGCCCATCCATGCCGCCATGATGCTGCTCCGGCCGCGTCAGGCTGTTTTGGCCCAGTAGTCGTGCGCCCTCCGTTTCCTTTTCCCTTTCCTTCTTGAGTTCTGCCTTCGATTTTTTTTTTTTTTTGAGAATAAGTTCTGCCTTCGAATTTGTATTTTTTTTGAGTGGTGCCTTCGAATTTGTAGAGGAAATCTGGTGTCCGAGTCCACTTCCAACCCGATCGCATTAGGATAAGCCCAACGGGACTTCTCAAAAAAGAAATAAGCCCAACGGGCCCAGGTGGGCGGCCCAGAGAGGGGAACTAAAGGAGAAAAGCCCGGCTTTCCTTCCTCCCTTCCCGTCCGCACCCGCTTCAAACCCTCGCAAGTACCCACTCCCACGGCGGCGGCGGCGGCGGCGGCGGAGACGGAGGCTAGCGACCACAATAGAGAGGAGCTCCGACCGGCAACGTCTCAGCTCATAAATGGACAGCGGAAGCGACTCCGACGGCGCCCCCGAGGAGCTCACCGCCGTCCAGGTACGTTCCTTGGCTATTCCCTCCGGTCCTGTGAGACGAGAGCTCGCGCTGGTAAAGCCTGGGTGACGTAGGAGTGTGCGAGGAGTCCGCGTGCTGCGCGTGTGTACTTTCCGGTAGCAGCAAACCTGAAGTATTCCGCCTAGTTAGGAGCACCTGTACTTCCCACCAAGGCCGATTACTACGCTCCGGGAACAGGAATTTCTTGTCTTTATAATTTATATAGACATAAAGGTTCGAAATGAGCCCGGATTTAGATCAATAAAAGCTCTAATCGGCCAAGAGTGAACAACACATACTTAGAACCCAACACTGCTGGGGATGCAAGCTTTACATAAAGCAGCACAAAATCATGATGAGCAGGGAGACCCATATAGGAAGACTTGTGCTCATTGTCAGGATCAAGCAAACTTCTGTAGTCTCGGTGGTGGCTTTTCGTCTAGCTTCCTCCATTCTTTAATCTAGTTCCTGTCGGAGTATGTCTACATGATGCTGAGTGTTCTTTCCTGCTGTTGATGCCTTGTAGGGTGTGGAGAAACATGAAGAAATCAGCAAAGTAGAGAAGGACAGTGCTGTCAGGTTTGCGTCTTGCACTTCTGATACTGTTTGAGTGGACACGTGGAGATGACTTTGAGAAGTTAAGCTCATCATTATTCGTTCTGTTGCTCTCGCTCCATGTAATTTCCGATTTTCCGTTGTAGATTTTGCGGGTCTCATAAAAAAAATCCTAAAGCCAAAAACATGCTACATTAGTCTAATAAGTGATTTTCTGGTCTATATTGGTTTATACTGCTTCAGCAGCGGGATGGCCACAGGTCATTCGTCATGAGCGATGATTGCCTACCATTCATATGCACATTTAGCTATTGTGGCACCTTTTCTGCTGCCTCCCATCCTCACTAGGGATTTTGGGGTAGTATTTTCCTGTAAATACCTAAAGTTCAGTGATGTTGAGTTCATTTTATGTGTTTATTATATGATTAAGTATAAACATGTAGTCTTATTAGTCCACAAAAAGATGGTGGAGTGCTAAATAAAGAAACTGTACAAGGTTATGCAGAAATTTGTAAGGGTAGAGACCAAATGCTTATGCTTTAGACTTGCAGATGTGGCAACTTGGGCGTATATAAGAACATATACTTGTGGGCACTGGGAAGGTGATTGTTGATGGGGGAGGTATCCCCAACACCAGGGCGGTAATACCCACCCTGGGGTTGGCTTCAGGGATGAATACTTCTCATGCCCTTCCTCTATAACAGGGTAATTCCTCACGGGTTGCGGCTTTGGGGGGAATGTGGCACATCACCATCCCTTTCACCCTAAACTTAGAGCTTTCTGTGCATACTACCTCAAAATTTTCAATTTCTAGTCCTGCCTATTGAACACATGTCACTATTGCGTTTTGGGTTTACACATTTGCCATGATCTCTTCTTGGACCCTCGTGTCATTGACACATGAGTAGTGCATTTTCAGTGGCAAATCTGTAGTTGCAAATAGGCTTACCCCCATTTCTTGTAATCTGTTGGCAAACGCATGTTGTTTCTGTCTTTTTGGGAACATCCATCCGAACTGACTATTTATATATACTGTTGACTTATGTTAGTCACTAATTGATGTCACTTTTCCTGCTGATGGTACCCTCTCTGACCTGACAACGTGTAATCTTGTAGAGCAACCCAGGAGGAGAAAGACCGGAGGAAACGCTGGGCCCAACGGAAAACATCCTCAAAACCGAATAAAAAGAAGCCTCTGAAAGTAGAAGATAAAGATACAGAAGTGGATGAGGAGACACATGCTATGCCTGGCACACTTCCCAAGAGCGTAATTGAAATGCTTGCAGCACGTGAGAAGTATGTTTACCGCCTTCAAACTGCCATACATTTAAATCCTTTTTAATCTTTTTGGACATTATTGCTTACCCTGTCTTCATATTTTTTTTCAGGCAAACCTTCTCATCAGATTCTGAGGAAGAAAATGTAAACCAGAATGTCCAAAAGAAGAAGAAAAGATTGAAAACTGCAACTACTGGGTAATTTTCATGGTCCTGTCTTCTCGTATGATTTTCTTTTAAACTGTTATTCTAATGGTTGCTAATGTTTATCAGACCTGAAACAATTCTGCTGAAAGATGTTCGGTCAACAGAGCACATTAAAAAGGCCCTCGAATTCCTGAGTCGCAGGAAAAACCAGGTGCCAAGATCCAATGCAGTTTTGAAGAATCCTAATGCTATGCGTCTCTTTAATAAACATAATTTCACGAGTTGAGTGTGGCGGACTGAGGCAGTTTCTGAACTCTGTGTTGAGACTCGTCTGGAAGACTGATATGGTTGACAGGTTGAGATATCAATTGTTTTTATGTGTTTGATGAGAACGAATCATATATGCTTGTGATTTGCAACGCCGCATGAGTGTGATGATGTATAATGGTTCATCCTTGTTAGAAATCCTATGCTCTGTAGGTGTTGCATGTTTTTTTTTGACCTTTGAGCTATAGTTATGTATGGATAATGCATCACCTGTGAACTGAATGCGCATAGTATTGTTCAAAACCTCTCCATGGTCCAGCATTACTGTGAAGCATGTGCTTTATGTGTTTGCCAGTTCAATTCAGAGATTTTGTCTGTAGCTTGTTTCATACTGTTATATTTATCAAGAATAATACTCCCTCATTCCAGAATATAAGGTGCATAAATCCGTGAAAGTCACAACATATATGTATATTTGACTAGGATTCTGGAATAAAATATCAACACTCCTAATACAAAATAAATAAAATATAAAAATACATTTTTAAGGATGGATCTGATGATACAAGTTTGATATTGTAGTCATTAAAGTATTTTTCTAAAAACTTGGTAAAAACAAGCACAAATTTGACTTTTGAAAAAGTAAAGACATCTTATATTGCGGAACGGAGGGAGTATAACATAGAGGTTCAACATATATTATATTATCTATGTGTAGTTATTTCTGCAGTTAAACTTGTCTATTCAGAGATACTATCTGTAGCCTATGGCAAACTCTATGTGAAAATATGTTCTCCATGTGTGTTTGTACAATTTTTGACCATGAAGAAATCATGACAATCATGGTAAAATCTGCTTGAGTGAAAAAGTCTTTTGCGCAAGTATAAGTCGCTAACCGTAGGCTTTGCACACCAGATAATTGATGAGTTAAATTGGGTGAGTACAGGAACACATGAACGACTTGTTATTGTCGGAATCAGTCCAATACGAATCTTACAAGCCACATCACAACCATTGCCAAAAGAAATCAACAATACAAGGAACCACAAGTACATCTCTGGACTGGTGAAGGGCCCAAGTAACCATCCAACAACAAGAAACAACCATACGCAGACATACACAAACCACACACATCCCAGGAAGGGATATACACACCTTTGTGCATCACACTACCTAGCTGAGGGCACCGTCTCGCTCGAATCAGTCGCCTCCTCGATCGTATCCTCTTTCGATTCCTTCTCTTCGGTGATGGCGTCCGAGCTGCAGGGGCCAGAGGTGCCCTGGACAGAGCTGGTCGGCTGAGGCTTGAACAGATCATTCTCCAAGATGGAGAACTTCTCGGCAGATTCCCCCTTGAGCATCTCCACAACCTCGGACATCACCGGCCTCTGTTCTGGCTTGGTCTGAGTGCAAGCAAGCCCGACGAGCACCATCCGCTTCACCTCGGCCTCGACAAAGCTATCCCCCAGCTTCGGGTCAGCCATCTCCTTGAACTTCTGCTCGCGAGCGAGTGGAAGCGCCCACTCGGTGATGGTGAGCTTTGTCGTAGGGTTTATCTTCTCGACTGGCTTCTTTCCGCTGGCAAGCTCTAGCAAGAGCACTCCGAAGCTGTAGACATCGCAGCTTTCTTTGGCCTTGCCAAGCATCGCATACTCCGGCGCGAGGTAACCGAGCGTGCCTTTCACCTTTGTGGTGACATGGGTCGCACCGTCTGGTATGAGTTTTGCAAACCCGAAATCGGCGACCCGTGCTTGGAAATTCGCGTCCAGGAGAACGTTGCTCGCCTTGACGTCTCTATGGATGATATGTGGGATCGCATGGTGATGAAGATAACTACAAGGCGCAGAGGTATTTAAATGTTATTAGACTGCTGCATTATGATGAATGAATATTATAAAGTGATGTTGAGAGGCTTACGCGATGCCCTCAGCCGAATCAATGGCGATGTTCATTCTTCGCTCCCAACCAAGATGGCATTCAGCTGCATGCTGTCCGTGCAGGTGAGAGTGCAAGCTCAGGTTCTGCATATAGTCGTAGACTATCAGGCGCTCCTGGCCTTCAGCGCAATATCCACGTAAGCTCAAGAGGCTCTTATGCCGCACTCGTGCCAAAACCTCGACCTCGACAGCAAACTCCTTTTCAGCCTTGTTGCTCCAACTCTTGAGCCTTTTCACCGCAATCTGTTACATGGAATAAACAGTTGAGGTGCTAACTAGGTTGGGGAGGAATTAAAATGCAATTTCTTGACTTTACATGGAATAAATACAAGGTGCATACTCTGATAGTCACCACATGGCACTTCAATTGAAACGTAACAACTTAAAACTTCTGGCGAAATAAAACAACTACAAACTTCTCATGAAATGTACTCCCTCTGTTCCTAAATATAAGTCTTTTAAGAGATTCCACTATGGACTACATACGGAGTAAAATGAGTGCATGTACACTCTAAAATATGTCTATATACATCCGTATGTAGTTCATATTGGAAATCTCTAAAAAGACTTATATTTAGGAATGGAGGGAGTAACAGTCATAATAAAGTCGATAACAAACATACCAAAAAGCTAGGCAACAGCAACACTATCTTACAAAAAATTGCTCATTGGTTACAATATCCAAATAAGAAAAACAATATTTGCAAAGGAGATTAAGTTGAGCAGTTCTAACACACTGTCATTTATAAACAACTTCTGAAGATAAACTTCTATATAGGTACTCTGTTTCAACTCCCTTTAATATGCTCATAGGATTCTAGAAAAACACAAGCTACCAAGTTGTGGGCTTCTAGTAGTTTTTAGTTATGCACTTATGCCACTGCCCCACAAACTAGCAGGTAGATATATGGCCCCACTCTACCCCGTTCAGTGATCATAGCGTGTGTCACGACATTTGGGGTCCAGGGCCACCTGTCAGTGACAAATGATGGGGCATCGTTTATCAGGAAGGAAACTAAGACGTGGCATTTTGATCAAACTTTCCTTAATTCTTTACTTATTAAGTTCATCCCAAGTCAACCTCTTGCCTCATCTTTCATTTAAATATATCCATATGAGTCTACCAAGATGTCATTTACATTTCTACACCTAGTACAAGCAGATACTCAGAACAAACATATAGTGATTGTCTGGCTTTGTCAAGGCAGTATGATTGCATCTATCCAGGCCATATATGCTTTCTAATTTTCTATACCTCCTCGGCTGTATTCATACTTAAAAAATATGGTCCTATCTAGCTTGTGATCATGAAACCTTCTCTACCACAAAGCAAAGGCTATATCCTCGGTAAAGTGAATGCATAAAAAAGTAAACCAACAGTTCTTTTGACTTGAAAAGTAAACCAATAGTTGAAGGCGAGAGAAAGTTAGTTTTCCACCAGACCAGAAAGTTCGTTCTTTGCACTTTCAAAGAGTGTGGGTCCAGTTTGGATTGTTGTTCATTCTCAAAGAATATTCCCGGGCTCTGAAAACTACAACCATTTTAAATTTCAAACGGCACTAGAAACCAGAAATAAATTAGGAGGTGAAACTAAATTCAGCTATAAATCACAAGCACCAACAACCGCGGGACTCCACTTCATTGTCCTATTCGTAGCAGTAATAATAAAAGACACTAGAAACAACAGATACAACAAATCAGTGTGCACATAGCATAACACAAGTTGCGGCATCTTGCGTTTCTTATTTTTTTTAAGAGAGGGACTGCACCTGTGATCCGTCCCAGAGCTGGCCCCAGTAGACACTGCCGAATCCACCTTCACCAAGCTTGTTATCGTAGTTGAAATTGTTGGTCGCCAACTGAAGCTCCTTGAGTGAGAAGATCCGCCATGTCGTGTCCTTCTTCTTCTTCCTGCCGGGTTGGGCCCTAGGAGCACAACAGATTATTAGAACTTCTTCAGAAAATTCAACTACTTGTCGGGTACACTAAGTAAGGCCGCAATGTTAGCACTCTATCCAACTATTCCCCCCGCAAGTCTGAACAATTTCCTTCACAACATATTTTTTTTTGAACAAATTACTTATGCATAAAAATCTGCACTCCATTGTATCTGCAGCTCGTTAGCTGACAGCTTCAAATTAACAGCAATATTCCCGATAACAACAGTAATTTTTTTGTGCTAATTTATGAGCAAATCAGAAATGAAGCTCACAGATTTAGGAACCCCAACCTCAGTATTTCCCCAGAATCAAAATCAATTGCTACTCAAGCCAATCAACAACACATAATAACCTGATAAAGAGAGAATTCATAAGCTAATGGCTCCAATTCAATCTCCCACACAAACCAACAACAAATAAAACTGGAACAATCTTGTTGTACGAGTTCCCCCAAAAGGGCAAAACCCCACCCTTGTACCCAACCGACGACCCAAACTTCCCCAAAACACACTTCCAGTAAGCTAAATCACCCCGTTGCCACTCACCCGTTCGACCGCTTGCAGCAGGAAAGCCACCCCATCCCCAGAGGCCGCGCCGGCTCCGGCCCCGGCCCCGAATCTCCCTCAAATCAGCACCAGCCCGCGCGAGCCCTGACGCGGCGCCGCCGAAGAGCCCGCGGCGGGAACCCGTCGTCCGCCTCCACTCGCCGTCGGTGGCCGCAGGTCAGCGGGGGCAGCACAGGAGACTCAGTGGGGGGAGAGAGAGAGGGGCAGCACAGCACAGGAGTTCTCGTTCTCGGGGCGTTGTCGGCTCCCTCGACGCGCACCGCTCCCCCACTAGCGCACGCAAAGCAGCCGAGGCGCGGTCCGCTCACCCGCGGGCGGTGACCCGCCGGGGCGCGTCGCCCACTTGGCGGCTTCCCGTTGGCGGGTTTTGAACCAATGCGGTAACGGACCCAACGGTCGGGATTAAACCGGGGGTGGTGAGGTGACGCGGCGGGTGACGGGCCGGGGTCGTTGCCTGCGGCCTTGTGGCTGACGGTAGGGCCATGGGTTGTGGCTGGGGCCCGGGTTTTTGTTTTTACTTTTGTTTTTTTGGGAGAGGAGGGCCTGGCTGGCTGGCTGTTGGATGGCTATGTTTGACCAAAGATGAGAAGATTGCTGGGGACACTTCGCTAAGATAAGTGCAAACAATGGGGGAATAATGTTATTTTAGATGGATTGGGAGACCAGTTCTCGTCGAACGTGTGTAATGTATTGATTGCCTCGTTGTTTTCTTGTGCAAATTGCGTTGCATCTTACGGGTATTGTTTAGCAAAACATTCATTGGCTCAGACAAATCAGTGTTAATCGTTGTTCATTTTCTTTTGACAATTTAATCAATGTTCGTTTATACTTCTCGTCCAAGTGCATAGGGCACCTAACGAAAATTATATAATCTAAGAATATAAGTCAAGATGCATATGCATCTCGTTCGCCCCAAGCAAAAAATTTCGCCCGTGAAAAATAGCTAATCAAAATCCAACAAAACCCCCCTTAATTCGTGTGATTAGTACTGCCTTAATTCCCATGACTAATGCAGTTGAAACCACTGCTCGCCATGCACTGGTAGAGGTGCTCGTTCTCGTTCGGTTCCCACAGTAATAAACCAACTTCAATGTAATAAGAATCCGTCCTGTCGCCCCACCCTATAGCGTTGCTATGAGCCAGCAGACATGGCGTGAACGGCTGGCCGGAGCTAGCGCCTCCAACGCATCACTGTTGTGAATGTTGCATCATTCGACCGAACACGCGCTAGTGACCGGTCACGACCGCTCTAGACCGGTAGGAATGCAGTGCGGAGAGCGGAGTAGCGGTTTGAGTAGGACGCGAAAGACAGTTTTGTGTGTGCATGGTTGTCGGACGCTCACATAGCTTTTAGTTTATGAATGCAGCACAGAGATCTTACCGCCAGTCTACTCTACATCGCGGCATCATCGAGCGTCGGGTTCGACCGACCCTAATCAGAGATATAAAATATTACCATTATGAAACTCAACTATTTCAAGGTGTTGCCATTGCACTTATGAATTCAACCATTTTTGTTAAAAATAATTAAGGGAAAAGATTGACATTTAGTTTATTGTAGAGTAAATTACACTGATGGTGCTAGAACTTGGCGCAAACGGTCACTTTAATGCTAAAAGTTGTGGTGTACATTAAAGTGGTGCAAAAGCTTAGCTTTGATGCGCAAATACAATGCTTATCTCATTTCTATACGGAATCGATGTTGACTAGGCACGCGGAGCCCGCTGTCAACCGTTGGGCCGGAGAGAAGGAACGTGTGACCTGATTTTTACAAAACACCCTCGATATATATATATATATTTTACAAAGAACCCCTGTTACCTGGGAGAGATGAAATTTCATTTGTGGGGTTTTATCATTTATGCCACTAGTTGTGTCCCACTAATCAGTTTTGCCATTAAAAATTACAACTGCTAAAAAAATCCATTGTTCCATGAGATGCTTGCTCAAAAATGCCATTAGATATCTAAAAATGCCATCGTTTCATCAGATGCTTGCTCAAAAATGCCATTAGACATTGTTATTACCAGGTCAAACGCGTTGACCATGTTATATGACAAAAATTTTCCTATACCCACATGCCAGTTCTCTCTATCCCACAATGATAAGTGTGGACCCCATTTGTCAGGAGTAAGCAAGTGTATGATTTTAGAGGAAAATAAGAACACTGTTGGGATCAAATGGGACTCACACTTTGTTGAGGAACGCAGTAATTTCGAAAAAATTCCTACGACCACGCAAGATCTATCTAGGTGATGAATAGCAACGAGAGGGGAGAGTGTGTCCACGTACCCCATAGACCGAAAGCGGAAGCATTTCAATAACGCGGTTGATGTAGTCGAACTTCTTCGCGATCCAATCAATCAAGTACCGAACGTACGACACCTCCGCGTTCAACACACGTTCAGCTCGATGACGTCCCTCATGCTCTTGATCCAGTTAAGTACGAGAGTGAGTTCCGTCAGCACGACGGCGTGGCGATGGTGATGATGATGCTACCGGCGCAGGGCTTCGCCTAAGCACTGCGATGGGATGATCGAGGTGTGTAACTGTGGAGGAGGGCACCACACACGATTGGGAGAGAAACTTGTGTGTTCTAGGGTGCCCCCCTGCCCCCGTATATAAAGGAGCAAGGGGGAGGCCGGCCGGCCCTCCTAGGGCGCGCCAGGAGAGGGGAATCCTACTAGGATTCCAAGTCCTAGTAGGTTTCCACCCAAGGAAGAGGGGGAAGAAGAAAGGAAGAGGGGGGGGGGGAAAGAAAGGGGGGCGCCGCCCCCTTTCCCTAGCCCAATTCGGAACCAGGGGCGGACAGCCCCTCCTGGCCCTTCCTCTCTTCGCACTAAGGCCCATCGAGGCCCATTAATGCCCCCGGGGGGTTCCGGTAACCCTCCGACACTCCGGTTTTACCCGAAACTTTTCAGAACACTTCCGGTGTCCGAATATAGCCATCCAATATATCAATCTTTATGTCTCGACCATTTCGAGACTCCTCGTCACGTCCGCGATCTCATCCGGGACTCCGAACAAATTTCGGTCATCAAAAACACATAACCCATAATACATATCGTCATCGAACGTTAACCGTGCGGACCCTACGGGTTCAAGAACTATGTAGACATGACTGAGACACATCTCCGGTCAATAACCAATAGCAGAACTTCGATGCTCATATTGGCTCCTACATATTCTACAAAGATCTTTATTGGTCAAACCGCATAACAACATACATTGTTCCCTTTGTCATCGGTATGTTACTTGCCCGAGATTCGATCGTCGGTATCATCATGCCTAGTTCAATCTCGCTACCGGCAAGTCTCTTTACTCGTTCCGTAATACTTTATCCCGCAACTAACTAATTAGTTACAATGCTTGCAAGGCTTATAGTGATGAGTATTACCGAAAGGGCCCAAAGATACCTCTCCGAAACACGGGGTGACAAATCCTAATCTCGATCTATGTCAATCCAACAAACACCTTCAGAGACACCTGTAGAGCATCTTTATAATCACCCATTTATGTTGTGACGTTTGATAGCACACAAGGTGTTCTTCCGGTATTTGGGAGTTGCATAATCTCATAGTCTAAGGAACATGTATAAGTCATGAAGAAAGCAGTATCAATGAAACTGTAACGATCATAATGCTAATCTAACGGATGGGTCATGTCCATCACATCATTCTCCTAATGATGTGATCCCGTTCATCAAATGACAACACATGTCTATGGTTAGGAAACATAACCATCTTTGATTAACGAGCTAGTCAAGTAGAGGCATACTAAGGACAATATGTTTTGTCTATGTATTCACACATGTACTAAGTTTCCGGCTAATACAATTCTAGCATGAATAATAAACATCTATCATGAAATAAGGAAATAAATAATAACTTTATTATTGCCTCTAGGGCATATTTCCTTCAGTATCCCACTTTCACTAGAGCAATAATCTAGATTAGAAAGTAGGGATAATTGTATTCATGCCACTAGTTGTGTCCCACTCGGTTGGTTGGCCCCTAGTTTCCAAAAATCCTCGGTTTTGATGAAGTCCGCTTGCTCCTCTTGTGTTTTTACCCTTCCGTCACGTTTCCGTCTAGTTAGTGTCGTTTGACTGTGTGTTGACCGTCTTTGGACTTTTCTCTGGACCTTTTCCCCCTGCTTCCTCACTCTCTCACGAGACACTGCCAAGTAGGGCCCATCACTGTGAAAACCATTCCAGATCTTCTCTGCCTTCTCTCCCGCTGGTCAGAACCTAGCCCGAGATCCCCTCCCCCATCACTCAAATCTTATCCTTTAGTCCTCCACCTCCATGGTTCTGCGCAAGGTCACATCACCACTAGCGATGTCGACATTCCCGTCGGTGGCCACCAGCCCCGGCCTCGACCCGATCTGGATCGGAAGACTCCACTGCCGCCATCGTTTGACTTCACCGGAGCAGCATCGGACCACCCTCTTCTCTTCACAGTTGCTTTTCTCCTCCTTCCCTTTTACTTCTCCTCTCTAATCCCTTTCCCTCTCTTCATTCACGTGTCTACAGATCGATCCATGGCTGCCCAACGCCATGAAACCAACCTCGCGCCTGTGGATCTCATCTTGCCGTGAAACTCGTTGTTGGTGAGACCCGCAGGTCATCCCGCCGATGCCCTGTATTCCTTCTCTCCCCTTTCTCTCTCGCTCTCTCTTCTTTTCCCCTTGCCTCACATCCCTCTCTATGTCCCCGCAGGAGAACACCATGGCCATGGCGCCAAGAGCCCCAGATCTAACTCTGTTCCGCCGCGGGACCTGCATGCCTCGCTGCCCCATCTCCATTTTCCCGCGGATCCGGCGAGATCTGCCATGGAATCGTCACCAATAGTGCCAACAAGCTCATTCTCCTTCTCTCCTCCGACAAGGAGGATTTGGTCAGCTCCGGCTACAAATCCTTTGGCTCCGACAAGCTCATCCTTGTACTATAGAGGCAACATCTAATTGTTGACCCATTGTATTCTTTTAACACTTGCCCCAATGTAATTAGCTA